CCCGGGGCTCCCTCCGCCGCAGGGGAAGCCCCAGGTGATGAGATGCGGGTATGTCCCAGCCCCGGGGTCCCACCGCGTCGCCCCGAGGAGGGCTGCCGCTCCTCTGCCGCGGACAACAGGCTGCCCTGGCTTTTCTCCCGGCAGGAAATTCCTGACACGGAAGGACAAGGAGAGTATCTTCACCATGGACCACTTCCCTCTGTGGTACCGCCGGGCGGCCGAGCATCCCCCCGGGAGCTTCATCTACAGCATTGTTTCAGAAGACGATTCAGGTAACCCCAGCCTGAACAGCAGAGCAGAGGAGAGAAGAGAAAGCTTTTCACATCTCGCGTCCCATGCCACGCCAATCTCTTTATTGCTGCCTCTGGCATAGTGGGAAGCGCCGAGACCTGGCCTCTTGGCATTATCTTCGCACCAGCGTAGAGACGGGCGTCATGGCCAAGATAGGGGAACTGAATGCAGTGGAAAGACAAAGCTGCAAGCTGCGGGGAAGGCAGTCAGGGCTGCGTAACGTCGGGTTGCAGAGGCGATGAAGGATGCATGGGAATGCAAGGCTTAGGTAGACCGAAGGATTTAGGGACGCAGGGTGTGGGGGAACACAAGGTACTTGCAGGGCTGGAGGACACGTGAACTGTGGGAAGGGGAAGGTAAAGCTATCTCAGAAGGAGTTCGACACATAGGCGTGGCCGGGCCTGGGAGGGAATATCATCAGGCATACTGGATGACAGGAACAGCTGGGACTGACGAGGGATCAGCAAGCACTCAGTCAGGAAGTGTACGCTTAGAGGGTGTCATTTTTTCCATCGCCACTTTCCATGACAAGAAAGGAGGAGTTTGTTATGGAAGATGGTGGAGGAAAAGGGGGGAAGGCTTTTCCATAGCTTCCTCTTGGTGAGGGTGTCTCATTGGTACCCTGCGTCCTTCCCATCATACTGGTAGACTGTGGCACCTCTTGTCCAGCTAAGGAGCTCAAACATGAGAGGAAAGCAAGGAGTGGCTTTTCAGTTTCTCCTGCTTAGGGTGTTGGTTCCTGTGAGTTTGCAGGGCCAGCCAGGACCTCCTCAAAGGCTGGAAGAGAGCAAAAGAGCCTAGAAAGAAACATTCAAAGCAAAATACTCATGTGAGACTCCTACACAGAAGGCAGAAATCCCCTCTGTGTGCCTCCCTGGCCCCTAGCTCTCCATCTCTGTCGCGGAGCTTAGCGCTTTAGCTGCTACAGCTTTTTGTGGCACAGTGGTGGGAGGCTGGTGGGTGGGAAAGCAAGTAGCAAAGAGCAGAAAACCAGACTGGGAGGCAAAAGATGAACCAGGATGGAAAGAGAAAATACTTGAAACCTTCTGCAAAAGCCTCTCTCTGCCCAGCACCCTTACATCTCACTTAAAAGGCAAGTGTGGAAAGAGGGGGAGGCATGGCAGGAGGGACCTTTTACTCCCCTGCATGCCACAGCATTTGCTCTTTGGAATAGAGCATGTGTTAGAAAACCAGGCAGTGATACCCTGTGAGGCTTCCTAGGGCAGCCAGGACCCTGGCCACCTTAGTCACTGCTGGCTAAACATTGGGGTTGTGGCCTGATGCGGCTTTCTTAGAAGTCACAGGTAGTTTTGCATGGGTAAAGACAGAGGACAAGCAGCTGCCACTGTTTTTTGTATTACATGGCTATTGGTCAGAAGCTTCAATCAAGTCCAGGATCCCATTCACCTGGAAACCCTGCAGGCACATCGTAGGAAGTAGTACCTGACCCTGAAGACCTTATGCTCTAAACTGTAAGGGAGATTATTAGTCTCTTTAGAGATGAGCAGCTGGTCTTAGAGAGACTGTGATCCATGAGATCACACAAGATGCCTGTGAAGAGCCAGGAAATAATACTCAGTACTTCTGAGCCACAGTGCTTCACTGTCAGAGCAGAGTCCGGGGCCTTCCTTGACATCTGATGAAGCAGGCCCCACCTTTTGGCCAGAACAGACCACCCAGTTTCTTATGAAATTCTTGATGATTAGATGCTGAAGTCCCCTTTTCATGCTTTCTACATGACTGAGTACATGCCTGGCCTGTGACAAGGGGTTTTCATGGCAGATGTACTTCTCATCACATAAGAGGGAAGAGCCCAAAGGCCTCCCTGTTGGGGAGAAAACCAGCAAGAATGGCTGCAGGTCATCAGAATAATTTATCCAGGGCTCCTTTTTCCAGTGTCCAAAAGTCCCAGAGAGAAAACAGCAGGGAAAGCTCTCCAAGTCCAGTAGAACTGTTCTTGCAGCCCAGATCTCTCTTGTGTTGGGTGTCTGGGGTTCTTTGGTTTGTCTTTTTCTAGGGTTGCTAAGTGTATTTTCCTTATTTGTCCCATCCTAGGGACAGCAAGAAATTTGGGGTTCACCAAAAAGGCATGATTAGGCTCAAGGCATGTGAGCATAAGTTGGCTGGGTATTTGTTTCACAAGGGCTTTACTATTTCTGACATCCTTGAGCAAGTTAATCTGGCTTCAGTCCAAAAAAAATGAGTGAGAGAAACTCCAGGCTAAATTGTGGTGGTCACAGAATCACGCTCAGGACACACTGGGTACCAACAAGAATGGTGAAGGCAGAAATGGAAAGCAGTAACAAATGCTGGAGCTCTTGGGAAGGAAAGAATCCCTGACCCATCTGTCTGAGCAAGAGATTTCTGTACAGCACACAAGGAGGGAGCCAGTTGCAGGCTACATCGATCATCCTGACCTTCAAACTGTCCCCTGGCAGTTCCAAAAGAGGTGCCCCAGCTGAAGCTAATCTAATCGCTTTAAAAAAATACAGAAATGGAATCTGTCACATGGACAATTGCAGGCTGAAACAACTGCACTAACAAAGAGAGGGGAGGTGGGGTTCAGTTGCCTAACCCTCTCCAGCCATGCTATTTTAAATGCCCTGTGGGAGATGAGAGATCTGCACGGGGCTGGCAGATGTGACACAGGACCTACAGGATGCTTAAAGCAGCAGCTAAAGGATAATTGGGAGACCCTGAGGTATAACAGAGTTTAGGCAGCAAAGTCCCAGAAGACTTTGTTGCTAAAATGGAGTGCACCCTGGAAGTGCTATGTCTGTCTCTCCTGTTTGTAGTGCTGGCCTGGCTTGGGTAACAGAGCTAGGTTATGCCTGGCATTTGCTGTGCAAGAGTCGGTGTCAGAATTACCTGTCCTGCTTCTCCTCTGTCTGCAGAGTTTAGCTGGTGCATGAAGCGGAGCAGCTTTCTGGCCTAAGAGAAGCTCTACATGCCCAAAATTGAAGAGGCCAGTCCTTTACATTTCATGCTGAGGATGCTATTTTCATCATGGGACGTTATCTAGATGGAAAAAAAAATCTACTCGTAGCCCTTTCGGTTGCTTATGTGTCTTGAAAGATGCAGTTCTCTAAACTCTTGGATGTTTCAGGGTTGAGGCATATGTACACACTGGCCTGGATGTGAAAGTGTGTGAGCAAGCTGCTCCTGCTGTGTTTTACTCCTCTCTGGTAGTAAGCTAACCAAGCCTGCTCTATTTGTGTCTTGACAGAGGGAGGTGGCCTACCAAAAGTGGTGACAGTGAGCACGGCTGTGGCTGTGGCTGTGGATGGGAAGATGGGTATTGCTGCAGGTAGGACATTCTGGTTTCTCTTTTTATCTTGAATGAAACGGTTGCATCTTGTATGGAGAGTGGGAGCTGAGAGCTGTTAGCTTGTCATTCAAGGGAAATGACGAGAGCCGCAATAGCTCATGATGTTGAAAACTAGGCAAAACAGAGAATACTAGAACAGGTACTGAATGGCTGATAGGCTTTTGAAAGGGAAACAGACAGTTTGAATGGAAGCTTCCCATCTCCAATGCTGGTGAATTTGTGGATTGAGACTATTTCTCTGGAGCATGAGTAGGTTGATAAGTCCGTGTAGGTTTTGAACTGTTTGCAGGAGACACTTTTGGTTTTGGAAGAACAGCACGTTCATGCATATCCATCGTTATCTCAGCTGAAAAATAACTTTTGCAGGTGGAATGGGCTTGTTGCTATATTTCCAAATCAGCCATAGAGATTACCAAACTTATCTTTGTATCTGAGCTTTGTATCTGCATCTACTTTTGGAAAATTCGTAAAGCACATTATTTCCAACAGAACCCCAAAGCTTTTGAAGCTTTACCGTTTTCTGCAGCAATTGCTTCAGCCTTTACAGAAGTACAATAAACTCAGAAGTGAAACAGCAGCCATTTAATGAAAGAAACTAGCATTAATCAATAATGCTGGCATCATATCCAACTTAAACACTCTGTGTAGGCGTATTGGGGTAAGAGAAGATGTAGCGTGGTGGAATTTTTTTTAGACCTGGAAGCATTGACTAAGGGAAGAAGGGAAGAGGTTGCCGAAACAGGTAATGGAGTAATTATCACCAGAAACATGCCAAGATGCAAAGCTGCTTGTGAAAGAATGGTTAGTGTTAATGGAGTCCTGTATGGTGGAAGGAATGACTGAGTAGCATAGATACCAAATGACGACTTTGTTATAGGAGTATTCAGTAGAGAGAAGGCCATATAGCAGATACCTTCAGATCAAGAGTCAGCCATTGCTTTTGCCTAGGCTGGGTAAGATACAATGAATGGTCATCAATACTACTAGTCAGTAAAACTATGGCAGTTTAACTTCATCTGATGAAGCATTCCTTAATTTCCAGGCTTTCATTAAGTTCCAGTTGAGAGTGGTACTCTTTAAGTATCACTTGGGCATTGAGAAAGTACTTATAAGCTGAAGGAGGGGTGTTATGAAATAGCACTTTTCATTAATACACCACCATTTCAAGCCCAAAGCCAGAAAATTATTATGAAGTCTGTCCAGAGACCCCTGTGAAATAGAGATGGTTTCAGTAAAGTTCATGTTAAGTAGGTGCTTGGGTCATAGAAACTGCTCTCAAAACTGGTACTAGCTGGCACTGTTATAAATATACCCTGCAGAAAATGAAATAGAATTGAAACTATACCAAGGGTCTCTGTGTAGCCCTGGAGCATTTTTCTAAGCATGAATTTGGGAGGAGAAAAAACATTTTTTAAAAAAAAAAGCTTGTTTTTCTTGGTTCTTTTCCTTCCCTTTCCTGACCTGTGAGTTAGAGCAGAGGCACACAAGCAGTTCATCTGGCACTCGGCATAAATACGAGGAAGGAAACTTCTGGGTGGAAGAGCTGGAGCAAGAACAAGTGGCAGGAGGATCTGCCCCTGACGGAGCCATTTCTCTTCTGTCAGCAGTGCTTTTCACAACCCCTGTGGAGCTTTCCACCCCCTCAGTTATGCTGACTGCTGAATCGACTGCCTGTGTGGACATGCTGTGAAGGGGCAGGATCCTCTGCAGAGGGAAGAGGAGGGTGGAGAAAGCAGCAGAGGATAGGGAAGGAAATCATGTTAAAACAGTAACAATAAGGTAAAATTTCTGTCATTTCTGGAAATGATACAGAACAAACCAGTTTCCTCACTGGTAACCGCAGAAGTTGAGAGACAGAAATGAATTCTCAGTTGCTTTCGTTCCTTAAAGGTACCACGGTCCCTGTTACTAGCAGGAACGTTAGGTGACCTGACCACAAGCATCTTCTGCTTACTTCCACACATGGTACATTCAGCTGGGTGTCTTTATTCCCCGTTTCTTATGCGTTGAGGAAAACTACCCATATTTCATCCAAAGTATGGGCTGCAGGGCAACACTGAGGGAAATAATTTCTCCCAAAGGGTCCAAAATCCTTCAGGCCCCCAGCCATAAGCCTCCATTGACTTCAGTGGGAGTGCAGGGGTTTGCTGATGTATGTCCCATCTGCTGTCTTGGACGTAGGTTTACAACACATTTTGGGGGTTTCAGGGAGCAAAAAGGTACTATATTATCATCTGCTTTGTTTCCAGTAGTGACTGGATTCATCATCTGAATCGTTCATAATACCAGTAGTGGGTAAAAAAAGAAAAAAAAAGAAAGAAAAATAAAACAATTGTGGTCACGCTACCTATTGCACTACTGTTTGATCTTGAGGATAGCTTTGAGAGTAAGAATGTAGGTCTATCTTCATCTCCCCTCACACTAATGTAATCATCCTCAGTGTCTGGGACCTGATTCTAGGGGACTTCACCCCACAGCGGAGGCTGCAGTGCAAATGATGCTGGGCAGTGCTGAAATACCATCCTGGGTACAGGAGAGAGGTGGAGGGAGGGGAGTGAATGGAGACAGAGCAAGAGGCAATCGGAGCAGAATGGGATGCAGATTGTTGTTGTTGTTTTTATTCTGATGGCATTGGCCCACAGTGGGCTTGATAGCATGTTCATTTAGAGTTAGGATATCACCAGAAGTCAGTATGGTACCCAGCATTGGTTCCCAGAAAGCCAAATATCTGGGTAGGCTTGTAGTTTGTGGGTAAATGCTGTTACAGTTCTGTAAAAGGGGAACAACAGAGGCTTGTTACGTGCCCCTATAAAAGTGCAAGTGGTATGAACTGGCCTGTCATTCTGCCACTGATTGTTACTGTCACTTGTTTGACTTGACAGTGCTTGGGGGGGATTTGTAAGCGCTCTGAAATGTTTGCTATGCATGCAGTGAAAAATTAAGCTCTAGGATTTACAGCCATGCCTGTGGGGAGGAAGCATCCCCAGTGTCCCCATGGGGAGGACGCCAGTGACAGGGAGCGTTGGGCCCCTTTTCTTCTGGCAGCTGAATGGCAGTCTCCAGCCAAGGCGGAGAAAGGCGAACTGGTAAAATCAAATGTCCAGGAAGATGACACAGGCCTGGATGCTGTCAGGGTGTGAGGGAGCAGTCAGCTGGGATTAGAGAGCAGCCAGGCTGGAGGGCTGAGGGCAAAGATGGAGGGGGAGCATAAGGGCCTTCCTCCTCCTGTTTCAGTCTGGCTTGGCTCAGTAGGGAATCCCAGCATGAGTTTTGGGGGGAGACCGAGGTGCTCCTCTCACCATTACAGGGGCTAGCCCACACAAGGACATATGGGGAGGTGGCCAAATTCAGGAGGAAAAAGCAGTGTCCTCTGCCCTACCCTACCCTCTCCCTTTTTCATCCATCGTTCTCCTTCCCCTGTGGGCCAAGCCCCTGTACCTGGGGCTCAAGGGGGATGCACAAAGGGTTCCGCGTACCCATAGGTCGCTGGGAGGACATGGTGGAGCCAAGGCAGGGTCCGCTTCTGTGAGCTGAGTTGGTGTGGTCTCTTTGGTGGGAAGCCACAAAGGCAAACCTACCCCTGGCTCGGCTATACCTGTTTCTTTGATGTAATAATATCTATCTGCTATATTGTGCTTTGGCACTTCAAAGCACTCTGCAAACATTAAGTAATGCCTGGATGATTAATTATAATTAATTAAAGGCAGCTATTCTCCTGGGATGTCAGTCCAGTACATCTCACGCACACTAACTTTGTTGGAAATGAAAAATAAGGAATTGTGATGGCACTCTCCCCAAGCCAAGTCCTGTCCCAGATAGCACTGTCATCTGCTCCCTCCCATGAGTCAGAAGCCTGGGGCTTTCTGGTCCTCAGGGGGTGTGTGGCAGAAATCACATGTAGCTGCTGACAGAAGCTTTTAGTGATTTAAAGCCCCGGTGAAACTGCTGGAATCTGCGCAGGAGTTTAGCTGTCACTTTGGGCTGTGTATGACGTCTCTTTCATTGCCTGACCTTCTCATTGTTCGATTTACGTGGCTGTCAGCTGGCTGCCAGTCCCAACAGGGGCAGGTAGGGGTTTATTTCCATTAGGTTCCTTGCCACGGTTGTCATGTCTCAGGGATGGGAAACAGCCGATACCAGCAAACCATGGGGCATGCACAGGCTCCATGATGCCCGGTAAAATCCGAACGGGCACTTGGGAGATGCAGGTTTATTTTGTATGATACCTTTCTCCTCTGTTTATATTGAATGTTACTGTTTTAGTTCTCATCTGCAGTGACTGGACCACAGTGAAATCATTATCCCATGACGCCAACGGTATATACAGATGTATTTGGGGAGAGTCCTAGGCAAGCTCAAACAAGGGTGAGAGAAGAGAAATATTGTCTCTATTTTACAGAGAGAGCTGGGACACTGAGTTGTTAAGGCCAGTATTTTCAGAAGAGCTCTGTACTCACAGCAGGACCAGATTTTCAAAAAAGCTTAGATATTTTTTTCAAAAGTATTTGAAATCAATCCATCTGAAAAATAGATAATGGGAAGTCATTTTGCCATTATACTGCTGGTTAAAATCCAACCTCTATCAATCTGACGGAAGCTCTTCATTTGAAAAGTGATTACTGGCCAGCTTGATGTTTCTCCATCCTTTTCCTTGGTCCCCAATTTCAGCTACCTGCTGTCTGTTACTAGCAAGCAGGGAGAGGAGGTGCAGGTGGCTTTTTCAGCAGTTCTGTTGCTGTGGCATCTTTTCAAACTAATCTACACACAATTCTGTATTCCTACAGTTTTGTTGCTTGAGTGGATAAAACATTTCAACCTCCTTTCTAGAAAGTGACAGTTGCACCTGTAGAAGCTGCTAAAATGCATGGGAATAAGCTATAACAGCATAAGCACCTTTTACACGGGAATAACTGCATCCAAGCTGGAGAATTAAAATGATTTTACTAGACTGGCTTGGAAACCAGCATAACATTATCCAT